CGTAGCTGTCAGTGAGCGGTTATGCTCGCCGCGGCTGCTGTACAGTTATGAAAGATTCTTACAGAGTGCACATATATTTGCTTTGCTCTGAGGCAAGCTGGTGAATCTTAGTGAAGATTTGGACTATTCAAAGAGGCCTTTAACATCTCCAACAAATCAGTGTGTGTGGCCACAGTCGAACGGGACATGTTTATATTGAATCAAGGATTTAAAACCCTACAGATAATGATTTGTATATACTATGACCACAACTCTTAAAGAAAGAGCCACAGACTTGTTCATTTAGGTCACAGTCTCTGACATGATTTATTTTTTTTCCAGCACACTGATTCATAGTTTGTAGTGATGTAAGTGAGTTCCTCAGTTTGAACCTAGAAGGACGAAGTCTGCATCCCACTCGAAACCCTTATACTTTACTGAGAACCGGGTCTATTTTAATTTCACTCAGGAAATCAAGGAGCTATCTCTGTCATGCCGAGTGTCACGCTGTGGGATTACAGGCGTATTTTGGAGCTCTGGGTGCCGCTGACCGGGACAGGCATTATAATTTAGCTGCGTACGTGCTGCTGCAGCAGAGCTGGCTTTGTCTGAGTGCCAGAAGTGGGCCGGACTAAACCTCCGCACGACACACGCAGGGAGGAAGGGTTGAGCAACCTGCAGGAGAGCGAGCGGCTGAGCTCAGCACAGACAGAGGAGAGAGAGACAGGGAGAGAGGATGACAGAGGGAAAGCATGGAAACAGGCTGCAGGTCCTTTTTTTTCTCCCCTCCCTCTGCTAGTGGAGAGATGCTGCACATTTGTGTTTAAGATGGATGCACGCTAACGCCGGATGCTGCAGAGAGAATAATGAGTCATTTCAGTTTTAGCTGCGCCATTGGCAAGATTTAAAGCAGGGAGGTAAAAGGTAGTGGGCTTTAAGAATGACCTCATCGCTCTCAGGAAATGAAAGATGCAGGAGTGGTTGGTGACAGACCCCCCCGTGTGATTGGCTGTGGTAAGTGATGTAACACGTTACTGAGCAGGCTGCCTTTAATGGATTTTTTCAAAGGGATGTTTAGGTAAGATTAAAAAAAACAGCTTATTTTGCCTGTTTAGTTAGTTCTTTAGTTGCAGTTAGTCAGATAATGCAAGCTGTCTTTAGGTAGAAATGAGTCTATAGGCTGTTGCTAAGCAGTTTAGACTGGATTGTGCATGATTGTGGCTGTAAGAAGAAGACATTTCTAGAAATCTGCATATGAAATCTAAAGCGATAGGAAGGCATTTGTGCCGAGAAGTGCAGCGGGAAACCATAAGCTGTGGTTAAACCGGTAGGCAGCGTTTTGCACAGATTGGAAACCTCTGCGTTTTCTGCAATGTCACAACTGTAGTTGTCTGGCAACCGGGAGCCAGTGGCGGCGGTCTCAATGGAGGTGCGAGGTCCGGTGTAGCAGAAAGGCTGTTAATGCAGAGGGAGTGAACAAAGACAGTGCAGATTTGTGGGTTAAAAATAGCCTTCAGCTAGAGTCAGCGTGTGAGCTACCACTGCACATTTAAGATGTTTAGGTCCACAGCAGCAGTTAAAATGCTCTCCATCACTTGTTTATCACATGAAAATAACAGCAGACGCAATGCAAATCTGACTTTATAGTGTTTCCTTAAAGCTGCAAAAGGAGATTTATTGATCAGATTGTAGAAGTACAAAGTCAGTGTTGATTATCTATCTTTTAAAAGCTGGATTTAATTGCTCAAGGGGAATCTGGGTATTTGCATTTATAGTGTGCTACATGTATTTTTAACCTTTTGTTTTCCTGCTCTGATGTTGAAAGAAATCACAGTCCTGGTGGCGTAACAGTGGTCATGATGGGAATCTTCTTTTTTTTTCTGTATGAAAATAAAAGGCCGTACTGTTGTATCTGCAGCCAGGAATATTTATAGATATCTCCCTTTTCTTGAATGAAATTCATTCTCCCTGACTCATGCTTCATTTCCCCTCCCACTGCCTCGCTGTTACCGCCTCTCTGTCGGAGAGGGGCAGCATTTTTCCAGCCTCATTTAATCAAGGGGGGGGGGGGTGGG